ATATTTAGAACTTTATGAATTTAGCAAATTATTAAATTAAATTCTTGCATCGCTCAGAATATTTTATATAACAAATTCTTTAGTTATTATTTGGGATTTACTTTAATTTTATTAAACTTTTATAATTTGTTTATGCTCCTTTAGTGTTATATTTATTTAAATGATAATATTATATTGTATAGAAAGTTCAACATTTTAGTATAAAAAATATTTACTTGCTGTTTTAAAATGTTATTTATATTAAATAAATTCTGTTTTCTGTCAATATTTGAAATAAAAATTTTTAATTTATTAAAAAATAATTTTTTAAAAAATTTTTTATAGAAATCCTTTAAAAATTATTCTAAAAATATTAATTTAAAAAATTTTAATATTATAAAATTTTAATTATTTGAAAATTTAAAATTTAAAAAAATATTTTGTATGTCATTTTCAATAATTTTGTTTTGTTGTTTAATTTGATGTAATTTGTTTAAAAATCGTTCAAGATAATTTTCTTCCCTCCAATTATTTTTCTTTCACTTATGATAAATTTACTAACAACTTTGTTAAGACGCCAAGAAATTTTTTTATTTCATTAAGGTGTAAAAATTTTTTTTAATTTTATTTACACTAGTATTAAATTTAAAAATTTTAAATTTTTTTACTTTAAAATATTTACCATTTTTACAATTCAAATCATTTTAAAATTGTTGTAAATATATTGATAATGTATTGTTTCGAAGCACCCTCTTTTGAAGCAGCTTTGAGAGCCAAAAAGCATCCGTAGAAATTTTTAATTAAATATTAATAAATTTTAAATTTAATAATTTTTCAATTGTAATCAATAAAATTGGCATTTAAATTTCCATTATGTTTTGAAGTCATCATCATACAATTCTAAAATTAAATTACTTATATTTTGATATATTAGTGACGATTTAATTCAATTTGGCGACTAATAATCAGATATTTAATTAGCGATTATGTTTCATCCCATTACCTTTTGTTATGTATATAGTTTAGAAATAATTTTTAGATTGACACCAACCATAACATTGATATTTTTTAAATCAGTATCATCGCATTATAAAGATCAGTACACATATAAATTGTTTATTAAAATAAAATAAATGAAAGATTATTATTAATAGTAAATGTTAACATTGCATATTTTTAGCACTTCTTAAATCTGCTATTAATATAATAATTTAATGTCATAATTCAGATAATACAAATAAATCGTTAAATTTATTATTCTTTTTTATTTTATGATATTGTTATAAATTTGTTTTGAGGTTTAACTTGCTTATTTTATTCTTTAAATTATATATATATGGATTTAAATTTAATAATAAGGCAAGAGTTTAGTAATAATTTGTGAGGGCCTTGTCAATTGGCACGTACAAAAATAATTTTAAATGATTATTATAATTTTAATGACTATATGTAGATTATTAGTTTTTGAAATAAATTCAATTTATAAAAATATAATTAACTCATGTGATGAAAAATGTTAGTGATAAGTAAATTTTTTTACCATAACCAAAAATGTAAAAATTTTAAAATCAATCGAAAAATTTATTTTAATAAAAACATCTTTTTTCTCTCCTCTCAAAAATCTTCAAAAAATTCTCCTCTTTAAAGACGCTATTCCTCACCATCATTTTTAAATTTAATTCTTTTTCTAAAAAATTTTTTAAATATTACTTTTCATATAATTTATTCTTATCCAAGCGGGCGACAATCTTATTTTTGTCTCTTCCAAAAGTTTTGATAATGTGTAAAATTGTGTGCGCATTAATTCAAAAATGTCCTAAAAGTTGTTATTTATTAATTCCTCGTTTTTTGACTAACCCCAACTCTTCGTAAATGAGCTGGCTCCTTGCAAGATCAGGTAACCACACCTTAATAACTTCTGACTCATCCAATTGGACCGTGCAAAACACTTTATTTTCGATGGCTAACTTTTGCCTTGGCAAGAAATGTTGGGTGAATAATATAAGCCATCAACTATTTTTAACCGATTTTGTTTATTAGTCTTTTAAACAAAAGGAGAGACACAAGTTTTTTAATTGGCCATAAAATAAATGTGATTAAATTTAATAAAATATAAATTTATAATAATTTTATGTATTAATCATAATCTACAACTCAAATATTAAATTCATTCATATTGTATTGCCAATTTAAATACTGTTGCATTTTTATTTTCTAATTTTATATTTTACAACTTTTGATTGTTCCAATAATATTAAAGTATAAGTTTATACATCATATTTTAGAAAATAAATAAAATTCTATCTATTTTTAAATTATTAAATTATGTTGGTTGCATCTATGTGAAAACTATGATAATTGCCATAATAATAATCAGAAATTTTTCATAAAATTTTTAAAATAACTATATGTCCAATTTTGCAACAAAATTAAAATTGCTTAAATATAATGATTCGATTATTTCCATAGATAATTATAATTTTGTTGGATAGTTACATTAAGCTCACAGCCACAAATTGTGTCTGTAAAAGGCGAATAGACTACAAACTTTTTACCACTTTTGATTTATTATATTTAGTTTACATTGTTATGAATTTTGTGAGAATTTGGACCTCACTTACTCCTTAAATAAATAACAATATTACTTAATATAATATATTTTATTCTAAATTAGTTTTAGGTAAAATTAGAGCTAAAGCATTAGGTTAAATATCGTGATGCAAGATTTAAAATAATTAGAAAGTATAAGTATTTCGTTCCAAATCTATTTTTAAAAGGATTCAAGCCTGATGATAATCAAAGAATTCTAATGTTTCCCTCGCTTCTACTGTCTGGTTTATTTTTCTTCCTTTTTTAACATCTTCTAATACATTGTCTAGCGGTCGGTTTAAAATCTTAATCTTCTATCTTTTCTGAACACAATTCAAATATATTTTCTCCTTTGCACTTTTAATTCAAAATGAAAATTATGAGTAGCATTAATAGCAGTGAGTAACAGTGTATACATAACTAAAGTAAATTTCAAAAATTATATAATTCGTTATTAATACTGAATAATTAATAATGTCGATTGCATTGTTTTTCAAGGATTTGCATAAATTGAATTGATGGTCAGTAATATTTTAATCATTATTTTGATAACGAGAAAAGAATATTTTAAATAAAATTGAAATTTCTATGCATTTTTAGATTAATCAGATTATTATTAAAATATATGCATATTTAATTTTTTAATTTCTAAATTTATTTTTGTAGAAAAATAATTTAAATATTAATGTAATCATCACGCACGCACTAATATCTCATTAAATTCCACAAGGTCATTACCTACTACTATACCAAATTCAGTAATTCATTTTTATAAAATTTATTGACTAATAGATATCAAATTTTTCTCATTATAGTAGTTAAATTTGCAAAAGCTGCTTTTCTTGGCTTCACTTTATTTTTGCAATTTTTTTCCATTAATAAAAATCTCATATTCTACATATCCTATCCTTTTTAATTTTCTTAAGATTTTTTGAAAAGATATAGATCAATATTTATTTTATTTATACAATATTAGAAGGTCTTATTTATAAGTCTTATTTACCGGGGTTTGCTGATTTTAATTATTATCTACTGTTGAAAATATTATGTTGTGGCTTAAATTATAATTATATATTTTTAGATTAATAATGACAAATTTTATATTTGTGTGAAACTAGTTTATTATTTATAGTTGATTAGTTAAATAATTCTCTATCAGCTTTGCGTCTCAGGAAGTATTGGTGCATTTGGTGATAAATTTTGCCCTAGTGGTGGTGTAGTAAATTCTATTACACTATGTATAGCAACGGATGTATTGCAACTCTATGTATTGCAACGGATGTCCAGGACTTGATGAAGAATTTGGACGACGCCTATTCCGATTAGAAGTAGAATCAGTTGAATTATTACATGGTATATTTTTCAACACTTGAAAAAATTCTTTTGAAAATGTAATATAAATTTTATAAAAAGTAAATCTAAATTAAATAAAATGGCATTCTGGATTAAAATAAAAATTTCTCGAATAAAAAAAAGATTGATGAATTGAATAAGTTAATGATTTTTACTGAAAAAATTTTGTTGCAAAAGTTTTCCATTGACGTTGATGTTTGTACTTTTATAAGAGGACATGTAATTATGAATTTATTATTAATCTAATTGTTGAGTCCCTAATTTGTTTAAATATTTGTTATCAATTTTTTAAATGTTATTTTCCTTAATTTAACTTGTTTCTGTTAAACATCTTTTACAATATGCCCTTTTTCCATATATTCAAAAAACTTCCGCTCCAACCTTTTTATCTAAACTTTTTATATTTAAAACATTCCCTCTCAACATCATTTAAATATATTTTCCTTTTTATCCAAACATTCAACTTTCCTTATCGAACTTATTTATGACCCATAAACCAAACTTACATGTTATACTCTCTCATATCCCGCCCTCATATGTTCATATAAATATCCACACAAAATTAACTGAATTACCTTCATACTTGTACTCAATACCTTTTTAACTGAATTAAACGTAACTTACTTATTTGTTGAAAATAAACTTGAATTAAAACTTGTCTATTATTTGTTTGAGTAAAATAATCTAAAACTAAATTAGGAACCTCAACAAAAAGTTTGAGAGAATATAAATTAATTAATAAGAACCGGGACATAATATTGGTGCCACGAACCCGTTGCGATAAACGGAGATCTAAAAATTAAAAATAAATTGAAAAAGGGATATTTCTGTGTGAAATATCATTGCTGTGTGCATTTTTTAAGAACTCTAGCCGAAGTTCTTGCTGTGTGCCTTATTTAAGAACTCCTGTCGAAGTTCTTGCTGTGTGCTTTATTTAAGAACTCTTGTCGAAGTTCTTGCTGTGTGCCTTTTTTAAGAACTCCAGCTGAAGTTCTTGCTGTGTGCTTTTAAGAACTCCTGTCGAAGTTCTTGCTGTGTGCCTTCTTGTAATCAATTTGTAAATTGTATATTGAAAAAAAATGTCTGGTTCAGACTTTAACCCTCAATTTTTTACACCCGAGGAGAATAACGCTTTTAGTACCATATTAACCCAACTTCGCTCCTTCGAACGAACAGTCGCTCAGACCTTTCGCCAATTAGAAGGAAGACTTAATAATATCGAAGAAAACCTTAAAAAGAATAAAGACAGCCTAACTGGAACGAAAGGCTCCATCACTAAATTACGTAATAATTTAAGCGAATTTAAGATTGTATTTGAAGAAAAATGTCGAAATATTGAAAAACTGGGAATAAAACATAATGATAAAGAGCTAGAAAATTCTGATGAGAGAGAAGAAAGTTCTGATGATGATTCAATTGAAACGGAAGCAAATGAAATAGAGGTAAATGAAACAACTGAGGAAAATAACCAACTAGTTATGACAATGGACCCGTTTTTAAATACCGGAGGCTTTGTTGGAACGTTTGATGGGAATCCCACAGTGTCCTTTACAAAGTGGATAGAAAAGTTCAAGGATCTCCTGTCGTTGATGACAGAGCCGACTGAGGTACAAAAACTTACGCGATTACGCTTCTGCTTGTCAGGACAAGCAAGAGTTACTTATGATAATATAAACCCTGCTCCTGCAACTTTAGCAGAGGCTATAGCTTATATGAAGGGAAGATATGAGAATGGAAATAGTAAAGTTATAGCTCGGCAGTTATTATCTAATTGTAAACACGCGCCAGGAGAAACAGTGTTTGAATTTGCAAATCGTCTTTCGGACACAGTACGCACAGCTCTGGCGGGAGAGAACGAAGAAACTATTAAACAGCGCTTATTAGATGAATTTTTGGATAGATTACTTCCAGAGCTACAGTTTGAAGTAAAAGCGCAGAGACCAGCGGATTATGCTAATGCGTATGAAATTGCACAGCATTATGAACTTCTTTTAACTGCAAGGAAATCGAATAATAATAGTATCTCTGTAGCTAGCTTAGCCGAAAAAGTGGAAGCTTTGGCGCTTCAGAACAATAGAAATGAGAAAAAGGAAATTAAACATTGTTATTATTGCGGGAAACCAGGTCATTTGGCTAGAACTTGCTATTCGCGGAAATCTGAGCAGAATTCTAGAAATTTCCAACCCCAAAATTTTGGGAGAAGTGAAAATCGTTATGTAAATAAGAGCCATAATTATAGACCTGATTACCGTAATTATAACGAAAATCGCCAAAATAGAAGAGAAAATTATCAAAGAGATAATCGCAGTTACAATAGAAATAGAAATTCTGAAGATTACAGTAGTTCCAGAAGTAGGGAAAGAGAAAATAAAACTAGATATAATAATTACAGTCAACAATCGCCGAATCGCAGAGTGCGCTTTGAGAGAACCCCGAGTCCAAGAATAAGAGTTGTAAGTCCATTCATGCTTGTAATTGTTGCTTTGTTTTGCCTTATCGGATCTACTTTTGCTACACCCATGATTTGCCTAAACACTGCTCCTATTTCTTACTGGAAGTTACCGAATGACCCAATTTGTCCGAATTGGAGAATTACAGAGACACCGTTTTCTTTTGAATTACCTGTTTATAGAGCGAACACCCTACAATATAAGACTTCAGCAACTGCATGTAAATGCATAAAGACGATCGTTTCAAAAAGTAGAGGTATATTCGGTGCTTACTTAGAGGAGGTTAAAACAGAAAACATAAACGTTCCTATCTCCTCTTGTAGGAAGATGAAAGAATTAAATGAGTCGGTAGCAGGAGAGCTAAAAAGCAAAAATGGAACATTAATGGCCACTGAAAATAATCCTGAGCTAGAATGGCAGGTTTGGCCTATAGAAATCCCATGGAATACTAAAGAATTCGTAAATTGTTACGCATATGATACAGTAGTTTTTACACACTACGGGTTAGATGGAATTCATACACCGATTGGGTCATGTCCAGAATGTGTTTATAACGCCGGGACCTGCAAATGCAATGTCGGTAGTTTAATTTGGCAGCCAGAAAAATCCCATAAATGCGCCTATGTTTTAATAAATAAATGGATAGGAGAATTTGCCTCAAATATTTGGGTAACTGAATCAAAAGATTTTGCCCTATCTTTTGCAAATATAACCACAAAAATCGATTGTGAGAATTTAGAGCTTATAATTACCGATCAGGGATTTGCAGTTCCAAAGCACGACTATAATGAAATGTTAAGTTTGAAAAATTTTCACCGATTTAGAACCAAAAGAGCGAATGAGGAAATAAATAATGGAGTTGTTTATACGCCACAATTGGCAGCGCAATTTACAGCATTAAGTAGCCAAATGTCACGTACAACCCAGAGACTTTTTTCTGAGACAGTTAAACAAATTTGTCAAAATTTACAGACATTAGCAGACCAGACACTTACACTAGCAATTGCAAACCCAACGTTATTAGCTAGATATTTTCTTAATGTAAATCAAATTTCTGCACGACTTATAACTGACAAATTATTGGAAATCAAAGCGTGTCACCCTATTCAGGAGCAAGAAATACATTTTAATTGGAAGAAAGGCTTTTGCTTTAATAGATTGCCAATTTCGTTTAATTTACATGGGCAATTAAAACATGGATTTTTAGACACCATAACAAAAATAATATACCCTGAAGCAAAAGAAGTGAGTTGTGAATTAGTAAGATGGATGTATTTGAATGAAAATGATAAGACAATACAGTACGATCAGTTAACTGGCGATTTAAAGGAAATTTCAGACGAAGGTATTAGAAAAATCGCTAGATATGGGAAGATTGATTTCCCCGAAATAAGTACCACGATTTTTAAAAATAAAGTAATTGCGGCCATTTCAGAACTTTACTCTCCTGAAAAGTTTTCAGAGACAATCGAAGCAGCCGTCATAAATAATGAAATCGCTAGATTGACAAACCCAAATACATTTTGGAGTGTTACTAGCCAAAGAAGAGAAATTGTAGCTGGTAACATAGTTTCTAACGGACTATTCGCATTTTTGCGGGGAGGAATATTAACGATAAATCAATTTTGGGTATTTTCATGTTGCTGTTTCGTAACGCTTCAATTTATATTGCAATTCATTTTACCCACTATTTTTGCAGGAACCCTGAATTATTTAAATTTAGGAGAAGCGATCTTTAATCGAATAAACGCTTATAGAGGAAGAAAGAAAATAGAACGCCGCAGTAATAAAGAAAGTGGAAATGAGTTAAGTAAAAATACAATCCCTTTGTCACAGAGATGGCCATCATTTAATAAAGGTAAAGGACGAGAAACAAAATTAAAAACAAAAATATTGAAAGGTAAACCAGAGATATGCCTCCTATCACCTACAAATTGTGACAAAAACTCTAGAGTCCTAGTAGAAATAAACGGCAAGAAAGTATTATGTTTACTAGACACAGGTGCTCATGTATCGATAATTAATCAAGAAAACGCTAAAAAATTCGGATTAAAAGATTGGACTATCGCCAATTTTCCCGCCGTTTATGGAATTGGTAACAAATTAGTACCAACTATAGGACAAACTCAAGTGGACTTAAAAATTGCAGATTGTAAAATTAAAACTAACTTTGTAATTATTAAAGATGGATTGACAAAAACCGACTCGTATGTTGCAATCATTGGTCGAGAAACATTAAGTTGTTTGCCCCTAATGTTAAATTTTACTAATTGGGATTAATTAAAGTTCCTGTTGAAAATAAATTAAAATATAATAAATTTGAAATAAATTCTGGAGAAATAGAACATCTTTCAAAATTAATAGCAAATACAAAAATCAATAAATCTGAAAAAGAAATTTTTAAAAAGTGTTTAAACAAATATTCAAAAATTTTTTCAAAAAACGATTATGATCTTGGTAAATGTAAAATAGAAGCGCCACCTATAATCACAACATCAGAAATCCCTATACAAGCTAAACCATATAGGACTCCGGAAAAGTACCGAGACGAGCTTAAAATACACATAAATAACATGCTAAAAATAGGAGTAATCAAAGAAAGTAATACCCCCTGGGCTAGTAACATAGTTTTGGTGGAGAAAAGCGACGGGAAACTCAGACCCTGTGTAGATTTCCGACCGCTTAATAAAATTTCAATATCAGATCCATATCCCATTCCTCGGATGGAGCAAGTAATACATCGCGTCGCCGGAAAATCCTTCTATAGTACTTTGGATTTGGCCTCTGGTTTTTGGCAGATACCATTGGAGAGAAAAACGGCCCACAAATGCGGTATAATAACAGAATGGGGTCTTTTCGAAATGACTAGACTGCCCTTTGGTTTAAAAAACGCGCCCAGTATATTTCAACGTTTAATGGATAAAATACTAAAAAACTTAGAAAATGTAACAGCTTATATTGACGACATTCTCGTTCATTCCGAAGATTTTGAGTCTCATATAGAGACATTAAATGATGTTTTTGATCGATTAGAAAAGGCAGGATTAAAATTAAAGGCAGAAAAATGTAAATTTCTGGAAAATAAATGTATATATTTGGGACATGAATTAACTAAAGAAGGATACAAACCTTCATTAACAAATTCGGAAGTTATAAAGAATTTTTCGATCCCTACAAGTGTAAAGGAGGTTAAGAGATTTTTAGGACTAACTTCGTTCTTTAGGAAATTTATTCCTAATTTTGCTAATATAGCATGGCCGTTAAATGATTTAACGAGAGGTAATGAACGTAAATTCGAGTGGGGAGAAAAAGAAGAAAATGCCTTTAACAAATTAAAAGAACAATTATTAAAAAACCCTTGTTTGCGTTCCCCAAATTATGAGTTACCTTTTCATTTATTTTGCGACGCGTCGACAGTCGCCTACGCAGCAGCATTGATGCAAAGTCAAGACGGAGAAAATTTACATGCTGTCGGATATTGGTCCCGTACTTTAAATATATCTGAAGAAAAATTACCCTCCACTCACGGAGAATTGGCAGCCATTTACCACGCAATAATGCATTTTAAACCCATAATCTATGGAGCTAAACTTACAATTCATACAGACCATAGACCTTTGATATTTCTCTTTTCAAAGGCGAGTACTAGCACAAAATTAAATCGGTGGTTAATGGCAATGCAAGAGATACAACCTAACGTTGTGTATGTTGAAGGAAAGGCAAATAAAGTTGCGGATGCGCTTTCCCGCGTTTCGGCAAATTGGAACGATATTGTAAATAAATATCCGAGAGAAGATATTCCATATTTAATGGAAATTGAAATAGGAGAAATTAACAGGAAAACAATCGAAGAAGAAACCCAAAAGGACCCAATTCTTGAAATTGTATATAAAGCTATTGGAGATAATTGGTCAGAGGATTATTCTGAAGAAATAATGCCTTATTTTCAAATAAGAGATAAACTTTATATAAACAGAAAAATTATAATTAAAAGACCAAATAATCAAATTGTAATACCAGAAAAGCTAAGAAATGGAGTATTAAAACTAATTCACAGTGCCCATTTCGGCGTGGTCCGAAGTAAATATAAAGCGCGAAAAACAGTTTGGTGGCCCTCTATAAATATGGATATAGAATATT